ACGATAGTAGGGATTGTTTTTGCACACTAACTGGTGACAAACTTTACGAGGTTGAATATTTTGATAGAAGTTACATGGTGAACTTGAATAAAAGAACTTTCTCTTGTAGAATGTGGGATGTAAATGGAATCTCATGCAAACACGGAGTGTCTACTATTTATGCTAACAAAGGAAAGCCTGAGGACTGTGTTAGCGCATATTACTCAAAAGCTACCTGCCTAGTTGTGTATAACAGTATAAGCATATGATCCACATACTTTATCCCTAGTAAAGAAGAGTGGGAAACCACTGACTTACCTGACACTAAGCCATCAATTCCAAGAAAGCCAACTGGTAGACCAAAGAAAAAGAGGATTAAAGCTCTGGAAGAAACTAAGAATCCATATAAGGTTTCTAGGGTTGGGAAACAAGTTGTTTGTGGTAATTGTAAGCAGGTGGGGCATACTGTTCGAGGATGTAAGACATCCCTTACAGGAGAAACCCCATGGCAGAGAAGAATAAGGATGAGAAAACAAAAGTCTTCCACTACAAGGTCACATGGTGATGTTGAAGACGCTGCAAATGAAGAGTCTATCCCCAATACTTGTACTCCAAATGCAAGAACATCAAGAAAGAGAAGAAGAATCTCACATTCTCAACCACCACAACCATCATCTAAAAGAATCACAAGATCTTCCAGTTCACAACCTCATCGAGCCCTGGTAGGACTTACTGGTCTGAACTTCAAATGATTGTTTTATACCCATTATAGTGGATGACTATGTTGCGGGACAAACACTGCTGAAGATGGGTGCTTCAATGAGGTGATGTGGTCTAATTGCTGAGAAGATGCCTGGTTGTAAATCTCCTTGTTGTGTAATTGGGAAATGTCAGAACACTAGGTAATGTAGCAGACAATGGTTGGTCAAATGTTATCTGTCATTTGTTTTGGATAGTTTTTGTAGTCTGTTTTGGAAAGGGTTTTGCTGAAATGTACTGGGTGGTCTGTTTTGGAAGGGTTTTTGAACTCATTAGGTAATCACTGTAATGTGCTATTTTGGTTTGGTTGAACTTAAACATCATATGTGTATTTGTTATTTTTGTTGGTTGGGATGAAATGACTAAGCCTTTTTTACTATGTGTTACTTTCATTTTTGCTTAAGTTTATTATAATAAAATGGTAAGTTCAAACAGGTAATGTAATGCAATGTTTGACAAATTGATAAACTTCATAACCAAATTGATAAAGTTGATATGTTTGACAATTAAGTTGACAACCACACTTCATAAACTTCATAACCAAATTCAGGAAAAGAATTTGATAAACTTCATAACCAAATTGATAAATTTGGTATGTTTGACAATTAAGTTCACAACCACAATTCATAAACTTCATAAACTTCATAACCAAATTCATAACCAACTTGGCAGAGAAGAATGAGGCTGAGAAAACTTCATAACCAAATTCACAAACTTCATTACAATCATACAACCAAATTCAACACACACACACACACACACACACTTCATTACAACCATACAACCACACAAAACAACTACGTACTCAAACAAGTACCCATATACAAAACATAATGAAATTTGGCTGAGACATTTTACCAAGCACATGACAAGCTTGACACCTAATACATCCTACTTTCCATCAAGATGATAATGAAGATAACAAACCAAAGTAGATTCCAGAACAAAGTTCTATTTCTTTTCTTCAACATCTTAAGTTCCTCTTCCATATTCTGGAGTTTCAAAAGACCAATCTCACGAACACAACTCTTGATTTCAGCTTGCATCTCTAATTCTTTCACCCGGAATTTCTCTTCAACACTTGAAATCTTCTAGAGCAAAGTATCTATCCTTCTCAGGCAAGTAGCACATTCTTCATCCTCAACCAATTCAAAAAAATTGCACTTTTTGCACATCCGTCCATGAAATCTTTTCCCCGTGTGTTTGGTTGTCGTTGCAGTCCACGGTGGTGCTTGGAGACCACACTCACACCTCTCAACTCGTTGTCTTGCATCCATCGCCCAAGACTTAGCGTTTGAAGAACGCATCATCGTCTTCCTCCTTTGTTTATTACCTTCAAAAGGACGGCTGACCAATCTCTTCAACAATATTGTGTAGGGTTTTAATTTGTAGTCTTAACATAAAAGCCATGTGTGCATGCGTAATAGAAACATTTTAAATTAGATGATTAAAATTTATGCCACGTAAGCGACAACTAACGTCATAAGGGTGGGTGGCCCAGGTGAGATAGTGGACTACAATCACGAGCCTGTGATTGTCCAGAAATGAATCTCATGCCCTAATTGAAAACACCCCAAACCACAAGTGCGTAAACTGTAGTTTTCCCTTGGTTTTATTGTACCAATCTTTTTTATTTTTCTTATGTTCTTTGTCTTTTTATCGTATTTTTTTACCATGCTTATCTTATCTTTATCTTACTTCATCCTGTCTTTACCTTATCTTCTTCAGCTCCGAATTATTATGTCGATTCATTTTAGCCGACCCGAAACTCTTAAAGTTTAGATATGTTGTATTGGATTTACTTATGCCAAAAAAAGGAAACTTGAAATTGGCAAAACATTTTAGCTTTTTGAACAAGTTTAAATTTATTAGTCTTTGTGTAATTAAAAAAAGTGCTTAAAGTGTTAACAAATATCAATGGCAATCTTGCTTAGCTAGGATTAGGAAGGGGCCCACCACAAGGGTAAATCATATAGGCAAACCTTACTTTGTATTTATGCAAGAGGCTGCTTCCGCAACTCCAACCGGTGAGCTCAGGGTCACGCATTTAAACAAATATCTGAAGGAATCTTGCGAAAATACAAGGTAAAGTGTAAAGCAATCTTTGAACTTTCCTTAAATTATTTTGGAAAACTGTCAAATAGGTTCTCGAACTTTCATAAAAAGGTCAAATAAGTCCTTATATAGGAGGCTCTGTCCGACCGTCGCGATTTGGGGCGGTTCCCGGTGGAATTTTTTGATGATTTTTTTTTTTGCATCTTTTTCATCAAGTCTAGTTTACTCATACCAAATTTCAGCTAAAACTTCAATCGGGAACGCATTCAAAATAATTTTTGAAGATAACTGCACATTTATCTTCAAGAATTAATTTGAATGTGTTCCCGATTGAAATTTTAGCGGAAATTTGGTATTAATTACCGCATCACTCCCTCTTGTATCAATCTTAGGGTGATAGAGGTAGTATATTATGTGAGATAAACTTAACCTTTGAGGATCCATTAAGGGTGAGTTAATACCAATTAAACAAAAGTTAGATGATAGTCTTCACGGGCAGAATATTAATTTGTGTGATGGTCATAGTTGAGAGCATCTTTTGATTATCAACAAAAAGTGAGCCTTTGTACCTCATAGCGTTGTTACTCGTTATAGTGCTACTCTGCTAGTGATGACCAACAACAACAACAAAAACATCCAATCTTTAATCCTAAAAGATTTTGGGATTGGCTAACATTAATCTATTAATGATATCGATGCCAAAAATAGAAGACACAAAAGATGAAGAAATTAAAAGTAAGATAAACGGATAAGATAAAAATAAATAAATTAAGATAGCAATAACATAAGAATATAAGAAAGATAAAAGATAAAAAGATAAAAGAACATTAAAAACGTAGAAGATAAAAATAATATAAGAACATAAAAGGATAAAAAGGATAAACGATCAAAGAAACCGAGTGAGAAAAGATAGAAAAAAGATCAATTGTTCACACGAATGTGCGTCCTCCACTTTGCTATCTCCAAAGTTATACTCTAAAAAACATGGACGGATCTAGGGGTCCCCCCTCCACGTTTAAAAAAACATAGTACTTATGCACAATTGTATGTATTATCCAAATAAATTACACTTTTGCTCCCCCTCTCAGGCTCTCATCTACCCAATTATCAACAGCTCATAAATAAAGCATTCTTTACATGCCATAAGAGAATCATATTTTATTAATGTGAATGTTTTTATTGTTAACAATCTAAAATTGTTTCATGTCATAAATAAGGAGTACATTTATGGAACACCATATGACTCCCTTTATGGAGTCATATGGGTTATTGTGGCACCACAATCACCATTCATTTATTTTGTGGAAGTCATATGGGGCTCCTTAAAATTTTTGCATAAATAAGACTTACAATTTGTAATCAAAGGCAAATCCAGCGGCTGCGGCGGCAGCAGCTATGACCGCTCCATTATTAGTCGTGTCTCGGAGTCTTCCATAGTCCGCAAAGGAAAGAGCGCCGCTTCTGTACGTAAGCAAGCGTTTGGCCAAGAGTGCCGGCAAGGCAGAGTGGATCGCCGCTACCACTCTTCTTATCATAGCCGTCCCACTCATCATTGTAATGGACCGGGAGCACCAGCTCAACGAACTCGATCTCCAGGCTCCAGCAGGCCAGTCTCTTAGGCACTTCTCAACCTCCCTCCGTTGGCCCACCTCAGAAGTAATCGGATCTTTCACTGTGGCCTTTCCAATGTGTTCATTTGGTGACAATATAGTTCCAAGAGGTCGGGTGAGTGTGAATACAACAATCCTGGTTTTGGACCATGACCAGCAAGTTTAACTGATAACCAAACCGGTCAGCTTGTGTGGAATCAAAATCAATACTTGTAACAGTTCTAAGCGGTTATTTCCCATTCTGATTCATTCGAAATAGGAGTATAGGACTGGAGTCACTGGACTAGCCAAATCTGATTCTTTTAAACAACCTAGGAAATCAGGTTATTATTCTAACCAGAACTGTATATTCTACTTGATCCATAACCAGAGCAATATTACCTGGTCCCTTCTTTTTATAGCAAAATGGACTGTCACTTGGTGTGAGTTTAGGAGTAAGATGTACTTTGCCATGACAAAATTGACGCTAATTCTTTGTTTAAAAAAAATGGGATGAGGAAAACAGGCCGGCTAAAACCATTAATTGCAGCAAAGATAGAATGTCAGCTCTTGAAGCACAAGAAAAATCCAGCCATAATATAAAAAACACTAGCTGTCTATATACTACTCTATAAATCTAAATTAGATAATAAAACACCAAAGCAGGCGAATTAGATGTTTCGCCACATCAGTATTCAAATAAAATTTAAAAACCAATCCATTACACAGAAAACCTATGCACAAGACCAACTGCTGGCGTACTAAATGTATTATTCAGTTCACAAACTTCATCTCTACCTTCTAAGACAATCTCTGAATAAGTGCTCCTGTAAAATGGAAAAAATGCACCACAACCACTAATGCTATCATATATTTATACACACATAAACACACCCGAAGGAGCTATGGGAGACGGGTAGTCGGTGATCATAAAAGTTTGTTCTGCGCAACAGCCTGGCACAGCTCATCTTCATAAAACAGAACTCTGTTGGAACCCAAAGGCTTGCATATAGGCTGCTTTGACAGAACAGACGGCACTAAGCACCTGGAAGGAAATGCAGATTCTTGAAAGAGGACAGCTGCAACTTGCCTCATTTCAGAGTTCTTGAAACGCGAAGGAGGTCGGGGACCATGTCTGGGTGCTTTCGGGGTGTGTGGGCTGTGAACCAAACCTTTCCCTCCCCCCTTGCTGTTAAAAAATATAGGCCATTGTACTAGAGATATGAGATCAACATAAATATCAACGGGGCTAGTTAGTAAGACTTAATTTTTTTTGAAGAAGTGTTCAGCATCATCTATTTCAGCCAAGTAAGTTACAAGATGTTTGTTTGTTAATAAACAGAAAAACGCAAAGCGTACTATAAAAAAGAGCTTAAGAGTCAGTTTGGATGGAGGGCTTTGAGTTGTTTGGAGCTTGATCTATATATTGATAAATTGAATGTTGGTGAGTTACAGGGAGATCGAAATAATGTTTACGAATGAATATGTTATTCTTTCAATTTTATAGCCTCAAAAATATAAATCATGATATACACTTAGCCCTCCCCAGATCCTATACAAACTCAACTCCCAAACTGACCCTATGAGCCCATTTAGTAAGGATTATTTGGCTGAAAGGCTGTGTTTTTAAAAAAGAAAAATAATCTGGCAACATCCATTTCAGCCAAATGAGCATATCAAAAGTTGTTTATGCTGATACAAACAGATAAATCCAAGTGCACTACCAAATGAGACCTAAATCAGCTATATGAAATCTATTTGATAAAGGACCAAGATAACTACCTTACAAAAGGCCAGTGATCTGTTGGGAGAGGCGTCATGATCCTCAACATCTCCTGTCGAGTTCGATCTGGAGTAGTATAATTAAAATGAAATTGTCGAGCTTGAATCACCTACATTCCAGTTTGATCAGACTTTAGTTTCTTTCTTTGTTTGTTAGGTGCAAATAGAGAAGAGAAGAGAAGAGAAGATGAACTCACTGCCTTTCTGATTTTCTGTGAGACATGGAAGACAGGCCTGAGTTGGTCATGGTGAAGGTGACAGAGTATTTTAACCTTGATCACAACATAGAAAAGATTAGTGCTTTTGAAGACCTCAAATTTGAGTTAACATATAAGCATTGTGTTTCAAACTTCAAAAATTCAATATATGAATCCCTTGTAGTATGCTACTCTGAAACACACACTCTTTTATTATACATTACATGCAAAAAATACCCAGGTGAAAGAAAAAACAGTTATTATGATCAATGAATGCAAGCCATAATGCACTATTGAATCTGTCTTACCAGAACTGCAATTATAACTAACAACTAGTCTTTTATGAGTGGGTAAACACAGTTATATATAATTGTAAGAAACAGTAGCATTTCATATTGTATAAGCATAAAGAGATGGTTCATTTATACAAGAAAAAACATTTGGAATTCCCTGATAAAATTCCTGCTAAAAGTGAGTCACCAATAAGTATACAAATACAAAAGCGAGAGAAGCAAGAACCAAAGGTAAGATGTATAGGAGAATGTGATTACCAGCAAATCCATTGGGAGTGATTCAAGTCGAGACTCTGACTCACACACTTCAGCACAAGGTGTCTTTGGAGTCTTTTGCAAATTATGTACCTTTGACATATCAAATGGTGAACAAACAGAGTCAAATCTAAGCCCCACAGGAGTTAATGCTGCTGGGCTTTGAACACTAATTTTATTCTGCAGCTGGGCATCAACTCTCGGCTCATCTGCATCCATTACAGCTATCCTTTTTTTCCCAAGGTCCGTACAAGACTTAGCAGCTGACACCTTACTATAGCGAAGCTGAGCAAGGGCACCTGGTTTAAGATACTTGTTTTTTGAACTCCTTGTCCGCCTCTTCTGTTTATGAGTTCTCGATTGCTTATCTCTAGGAGACATTGTATGTGAGTGGTTTTTCTCTCAAAAAAAAATTTCTCTCAAACAATCCCTCCTACCAGTTTCCTATAACTTTAGAGAGTCCAATTCTATTTCTAATTTATTAAATATAAAAAGAATACTCCTCATACATGGCCTTCATTGAACCTGCAAGTCAAAATTCAACCCTAATCAGGAACTCAACAGCATGGAATGACCATCCTTAACAGTAGCAAGGAAACAGTAATCCAACAGACTACGGAAACCCAAAAAGAAACTTTGGTTAGCTAGTCAAAGAACAGCCCCAGTTAAAAACCCTTCACAACCCGAATCTGAAATCTAAAGAAAAACAGAATCTTTCAGTCAAAAGAGCAAATTCATGCATAACGACACACAAAAACAGATGGGCACTAGAGTTAATTGTTATCATAACCGTGCTACAGAGGAAAGAAATTAGAGCAGAGTAACTAAACTGAAATTGAATCACAAAATCAAACCTTTAATCGAACAATTAAATTAAATTCCATAACGAAGAACAACAAACCTGAAGATGAGCAATCACATCACCAGGTGCGAAAAAGGAAAGAAAGAGAAACCCGTATCAGAGAGACGGAGGGAAATGAAGAGAAAGGGGCGGGACCTAGGGTTTTGGCATTTCCCGAGAAAAAGAAAAGGGAATTTGAAATTGAGGAAAAGGCCCGCCAAAATTTTCAGCAACAGTTATAGTATTGGAATTGAATACGGTACCTATTTCTTTGGATTCCCACTGCCGGAGATTACGCCCACATGGGTATGACCAGTACATACGGTGCCGACGTGGAAGCTTCTGATTGGATAGGGTTGTCAGTTTCTCATATCATGAAAAGGTATCCGATGTGGGAAATCTGACGCGGATGGCGGCAGACAGATTTGGACGGTCGATCTAATTCTTCTTAAATTAAAAAGGCAATTAAACATAAAACGTACGCCATTAAATCTAATCATTGCAACTATTTAGTGCATTATTACTAAAATATTGTTCACGAGTAATATTAGAAAAAACTAGATTTTCACCCGTGCGTTGCACGGGTTGTCGTTAATAATAATTATTAAATTCATTCAATGTCTAAGAAATATGATGATAGAGATTAAAGTGAATAGAGCATGTTTAGGAGCAATTAAAAGCTCATTTGGTGACACTATTTTTTTAATTTATCAGACTATTTAATCTACTTTTCATCAAACACGTAATTTTTAATTTCGCGCACTAAATTGTGTAGTAATAAGAAAAAGTAAGACTTGAATTACTTTTCTGACTATATAGGCTAAACACTTTAAATTACTATAGATGATCGTTTTAGCTATTTTTCACATGATTTTTTCTTTATGTTACTAATAGAGCATATTTTTAAATATAATTTTTTTCATAAATCAATATAATCACCCACTTCAGCCAGAACTCTATAAATTTCAACAGAATCAGCTGATTCAACCAATTTCGGTATTACCAAATGAGCTCTAAAAGGTGATAAAAGCTGCACAGTTCTACACCTCATGATCACCAATATTTAAAATTTTCTAGGTTGGTATCATCGTAATACTCCGTATATAATAAATTTGAACACATCTAAGAGACTTACTCAGATCAAAAGTCTATGATGTATAATAATTGCATGAAGGATAAACATATCAACCCCAATCAGACTTTCCCCTACATTTATAGATTGTCATCTCATAAGTTAACATCGCAGAGAATTACATATTTACATGTATGGTAATTGGCAACCCCTGTTTTCGGTGTATTAGTGTATAGGTATATAGGTATTGTGAATCAACTTTTTACACATAAGTTTTAATGACAATATGACCTCACGAATGTACTTGTTCTTATTAATTTATGTACTCTGAGTCTCTGATTGGCTCACTGACTATGTCTGGGCTTGAAGAATCGTTTTCCTTTCAAGAATCAAATATGGTGCAAGAAAGGCTAAAATTGTGTAATAATCAAAATCATAAAAGAGATGCCATCTAAAATGCGCTCAAGGAAATAAATACTTAACAAATATACTCCTATACTTGTAATAAAAGAGCCATATGTGGGCATATTTGAACACGTCAAGCTTATCTTCCCTCAATTGCACATTTGGAATTCCCTCATTTTTAGTATGGGACGTGATAAGTGAGCTCCAACTTTGCACATTGGTCATTGGCTAATAAAAAATACCTCTAAGTGAAGAGCCAAACTTCACAATTCATTAATTTAGTATATGCTACTTTGCTACATCATCAAAATTACATCCTCTTATTTCTCTAATACTGTAGAAACGAAGGAAAGATAAGTCACAATACAATTAAATAACATAATACGTAGTAGTAACTAAGAAAGGACAACAATGTACACAAATTCCCAGACTCCCAATTAACATGAAAAACTTATTACATGACTTGTTCCTACTAAGGATGTTTACAAAAACAATGATGATGATGATATCATCATCATCATGATAACACTTAATGAAGGGTGAACTGTGAACTCATGTTTGGCAGCATATAGTAATAACAAAGTCTTGTTGCTATGGCACTGGTGTTGAAGTATTCTTACTGTTTTTTTATCAGAAAAGATTAAATAGAAATATCAATATTTTTGCTTGTAATAAGTACAGCTGTGTAAGAATGGGAAGCACCTCATCTCTCCTGGAGTTCAGAGATGACTTCATTCCTCACCCAGGGCTTGAGGGCTTCCTGCTCCATATTTTGGTCCTGCAAAGCTTTCTTAGTTATAAGAGTCTTTATCCGACAACATAAGCCCTTGGGCCTGATGGTTGTACCAATCATCCCACCATTGGCAATAAACTCCTCAATGGCTTATTCATCACCCGGATATGGAAATCTCTCCGCTCGTAGAGGTGGGCCAACTCCCTTTCTTGGGCTTTAGTTTCAGCGTCCACCACCCAAGCAGTGCGTCACATTATATAGCCACACCAAACCAGCTATTCTATAAGTGTAGATCAACGCCTTACTCAATTGCTGGCAGAAGTGATAATCCTCCTTTCAGCATCGCAAACCCCGTTTTAGCATCTTGAAATCGCTTACGAACCATTGCAACTTTTTCTCACCACTAGAGGGTTGGGGCTTTCTTGGCAGACTGCAATACAGCAAAATCGGAAACAGCGTCTAGCGAGACAGTCAGGAAGAGACTCCTGCATTCAGCGTCAGTGAGCTTCTGAGCTGGGCAGAAGGTGGAACAGCCTGGAGTAGCCGTTTAGCCGCACAAAACTCTACTGTAGTAAGTGCATCCAAATTCATATATGAAGTAAGAACGTATGAAAACAACAATGTCAACATATGAGAGTAAATGCTTAACGAATTTGGATAATGTCTGTAAGTAAAAAAGTAAACACGTATGAATTGGGCTGATAAGCCATATAATATGGCTCACCCATGGACATCAAAGAAGAAACCCACTATTACAGAACCTGGTAAAAGAGTAGCACTCAAGTATACCCATGCAACAATATTATCACTTATGGCATTGTCAACAACCAAAGTTACCAAACATCATGGTAAAAGAATAAACATATTCAGAATGGTAACGAAGCATAACATACCTTTAAAAACTTAACAAATATACTACTGTCCCTATAACTATAGTAAAATTGTCGCAGAATGAAAAAAAAACTCTCCAATAGAAAAATGGATAAGAACTTGGCGGGTGAAGTTGAGGGATAATATAAACAGAAAATTGGATGAATGGATGAAAGTAGGCAGTGTGAGATATACCTTAAGATGCTTAGATGGACGAAACCATGTATACTACAAATATGTACTATGAAGCTTGTATATTGATGTAATGAAGCATAGAATTTACATGAGTATACAAAAATTTTGAGGCTTTTGAGGTTTACTCAGAATAATTCACTTTCAGTTGCTATAAGTTCTGGAAATCATCCGCCATGTACACTATCGGCTGGTCAAAAAATCATTATAAGTCGTCAAAGTTTCATATTTCCCCTTTAGATGACCCCGAATTGAGCGGGCTGTAACCAAACCCAAGTTGAGCCCACCCTAGCTAGCTTGTCTTAGATAATATTTCATATGAATCATCAAAGTTTTTCTCTGTGTGTCACTTTTTATGATTAATTATAACATGCATAGTAGAAATGGATCAGCATGGAGATGTTCTATTCTCATTTAACCACATCGAGGTTCACTGTTATATTTTCACGTCATGTTATATTTTCATGTTGTTAACATGCATTTTATAATAATAGCAAAAGAAACTTGACTGCACAGAAAAAATATTATGACTTGCCAAAATATAAAACACAATTATATAATTGGAAGCCTAATGAAATAGGAGCCTTTATTAGATATATTAAATCACAAAAAAAAAAAATGCAAGTCAATACTTTGCTTACTCTGCTATTCCTGAAACTATTATATTGCAAATTTCCCTTTCTCTGCTATGGAAACATTTGGTAAGTCCAATTGATCAAACAGTTTCATATAGCTAGGTTTCTTGGCCATCCAGTAGAGGCTTTTGATTATATTTGTGTGTTTCCAAATCATCAAGATTTCTCGGGCATAATGTATAATACAAACTGGTGATGTGCAGGTACACATGCAAAATATGATATTTTTTTACCATAAGCGTTTGTTAGGAAGTGTATTTACCCTTGGTTTCCCGTTCTCAATTGGAGATGAGATCATGGATTCCTTGGTAAGTATATTTGTTCATTAATTTATGTCTTCATCCACTTTATTTCGGATGAGTTTCAATTTTGAGATCCAGAAAAAAATAATGCAAGTCAATACTTTGCTTACAAAATACTGCATTTTAATTTAGAGAGTCACAGCCACATCATTCAAAAATTGTTATAAGCAACATTCAAGTTAAGCTACTATAAATACATGCAGAGTGCACTTGTTTTGGTTTAAATGTAAAACATAACTGCATGTTAATACTTTGTTTACAAACAAAATACTTTAAAAGAAAAAGGTTTAACACATCAGTGAAAACTCAACAACGTATTCTTAGCATCCTGCAATAAAAATGTTTATAAGCATGCATAGTATAACGAAAATCAGCACAATTTTCATAACATATATTTAAACCAGAAGCATACCTTCATTTCAAGCAAGCATGAAATTGCAGTTTTATATAGAATATACATCAACATCCAATGGATTATGGATTTAAAAGCAACTGAGTCTGCAACCAAACAAATAAATTAGATTTCACTGCATTCACTAATTTAAAGGAGAACGGAGATGATCTGAGAAGTGGGAGGAAACTTGAAATACAGAGAGGATGAATCGTAGACATAGATCTCCAATGTTCATGAACGAATTCCAGGGTGATTCCTGAAGATGCCCCAAACCCATGTTTTGGCCACAAATCGATGATCTGTACTGCGATTGAATGAAATATCAATTGATGAGGATATTTTGCAAAAGTATTTGAACTCCGAGAGGCGGAAGTGAAAGTGGCTCCCGTGAAGTATAGCAATGACAAAGAGAGTCAGATATGAAATTGGGACGAACAGTACCTCGAGGAAGTGGTACGGGCCGGTGAACATGAAGAGTGCTTCTTCAGAAGTGGCGGCATCGAGACTGAATCAGCTGCGTCGCTCGGAGGCTCGAATCGGCACCACCAGAGATGGAGATTGAGACGATGAAGACGCTTCGGCACCGCCAGATATAGAGCTTGTGAAGAGGGCCTTTTCCGATCGAAAGGAAAGCCATTTGGTTTCTGAGAGGGAGAGAGATGAGAAGAGTGATTTGTGGTTTCTCTGAGGAACAGAGATGAGAAGCTCAGGGGATTTGCCCATGAAAAGGAAAGTGATTTAGGAAACACGAAGACAAAATACTGCCGTAGATCTAATTGGTTGATCGTACGACTGATGTAGCGAGATGTTGAGCGGGGAAATATGTTTCTCCAAAGTATTGCAATTATTATGTAGGATGATGGCATGAGTAATATTAATCGCGCCTCACTAACATTGAGCCACCAGAGTGACCAGACTCGAGAAAATGATACTATTATTATATAAGTCAATTTATATGATTGATATTAAATTGATATAATGAAAATAAAGTAAAAATGATTAAGAACCATACATACTATATTAAATTTAATATGAGATAGTTTAATTGTGACAGAACGAAAAGAAGGATGAACAATCTGAACAGGACGGGTGGATTAATGCATAGTATTGAATACTTTTAGATGTCTGTGTTACGTTAGTACGAGGTATTTTTAAAGCGAAACCGCCTACAAAGAGTATATAATTTAGATGTTTATGCATTTCAGCTTGAGCAAGTTTAAGTAAATCAAAAATTGGGTCAGAACTTTTTTTGTTACATGTCCGATACAACTTCATAGATACATGCCTTATTCCAAAGGAGGGGAATGTGGGATTTAAATAACATGTAGTACAAATCATCTTACATTAACTAAAAATAATACTATCGTATATACGGAGTACTTTGCAAATAACTTTCAATAATTCCGAGTATCTACATAATAAGTGTATGTATTCCCATATACTACGTACTATCGTATTATTTATTTAAGAGTTTCCTACTAGTTTTTAATGTCTTAAATGAATGGATTTCTTGTCAAAATGTTATTTCATACGTAGTATTACTTTTATTTTTAAATTTAAATTCACATGACATTCATTATAGTAACTATTAATCATATTTGTGTAAATAAGTTTTATTTTAGTGACATTTTCGGGGGAGGGAAGGGGGGCCTAGGAACAAACAAGTTCTATCATGCTTAACATCTACCCAAAGTTGTCCTCTATATACCATATGGTCAATACAATTCCTCACTCCTTGAGAACTATCATCTGCCATATTAGTTTGATTGCTACCACTCATTTTTCTAACAAAAAGCACATGCAACTCAAATTTATTAACAAAATGAAAAAGTATGAAATAGAAAAAATTTAAACTTGAACGTAAAGTATAGCAGTATAGCACATAAGGGTAGATGACCAAATTCAACCGTGAAAATGTTGGCCTCCGATCTCAGCTCTGCGGTCACTACAAGGTGGTGGTTCGAGGGGGGGGGGGTGTCATCAATACTTCCTCTTCCTTGTTCATCTCGTCATCCATTCACGTCTCCTACCTCTTTATGTCCTTTGCATCATCGTTCGTCATGATTGGGGCAAATTTGACCTTGTTTCTGTCGGCCAAGGTTTGCACCTCCCTTGATTTGTTATCCTTCATCTCCCACTCTCTCGCTGAAGATGCTAAACAAATCCCAAACGCCGATGCGGCTCCAAAATCCTAGCCGACGTCGATGCGCGGCTCCAAAACCTAATGCACAAGGAGTTCACTTCTGCGGCTAGAGAGAGAGAGAGTCTAGTGTATCAAATTGTTTTTTGCAAATACAGTACATTTGCAATTAATGTGTTGTGTGTAGAGACTTAAAATGTAAAAGAGAATAGATAAAGATGTACAAAATAGATGATGTAATAAGAGATCAGATATCAAAGAGAAGATGAAAGGTTACGGTTAAACATGAGTAAAAAGGGAAATGTTGCACATAATAATATATTTCCCAAAATGAAATACTTTGAGAAAAAATTACGTAAGAGATATAAGTTGAAAATTTTCATAAATATTACTCTTTTAAATGTGATGGACAAAAATATTAATTAGTAACTATTAGTGACTATATAAGTCATTGTGATATAAACTTTAAGCAAAACTGTAGTCACTAATAGTTACCAACTTACCAAGTCACATTTTTTGTCCATGTCATTTTTATTGGTAACGTTGAAGGAAAAACACCATATAAGTCAAGAGAAATTCATTCAAGGAATAGGACCAAAACAATACCATTTTTTCGAATAGAACCTAGTATTTAGAATTTCACAAATAAGACTTTTTGCCCCCAGGCCATCAGAACGACGGCAGCATCCGAATATTTTCGCTCGGGATAAGATAGAGAAGAAGGTCGTGATACAATAGATAATTCAAGTGTGAGATAGAAATATAAAATCAAGTCTTAAGTCATATGTGCACTACTTTGTAATTATTTTGAAGTATACGATGAGATTTATTCATTCAACCCGTAGGCCCAACACGCAACCTATGGATTTTGAGTGGAGAATGTGTGTGGATATAAACCAATAGCAAAAAACAATGGAGTCCGAAATCAAAAAACGAAACTGACAGAAAACATAAATCAAAACAAAAACCTGAATCATCATGCTTCTGGGCGGGCCTATAGAACCCGACCCGCCCGGTTCCATATTTTGGTCCTGATGTCATCGCCCTCACGCTTCTTGTGATTGTCAGCTCTCGTTGCGCGAAGAAATGTACTTGGATAGCAGAAAAACTAGTCTCACCTCGGTGGGAAAAAATCGATAACCCTAGCGATGCCATGACCATGTTTTCCAATACTAGTTCATAATTTTTAGTTAAATTGTCAAGTAATTTTATTCATTTTTACAACGAAATATATTAGTGACTTAAAAAGAATATTTTTGAATTGAAATTGGATAAAAATATTCTATTGTCATCAATATAGAGCAATACAAGATTACAAGTTGTATAAGTTGATTACCAATTACCATTAGACTATTTGAAATAACTAGGGAGATTTACCTAAATGGGACTAATTAAGTTCTCAATTGCCAAAATAGGACTAAAGTTTAAATATTCTCAAAATAGGAGTATTATTTGTTATTGGACAGAAATATCCCAGAACCTTGACAAAAACACTGCAACATCCACTAGCATACCCGCGGACCTGCAGACCACCGGACTTGCAGCCGCCGCTGGCATCCACCAGTCGCCACCGCAGCATCAAAACTAACGCCCCTGCAGACTTGGCCGCCGCCGCTGTAGAGTTGGCCACCACCGCCGTATATTTGGCCGCCGACTGCCGCCCATGTAGATCCGGCAGCCACCATTGCAGATCCGGTCGCCGCCGTCGCAGATCCGGCCACCACTTCTGCAGATCTGGCTGCCGGCGCCGCTGATGCCAACTTTTTCAACAGAATGCCAACTTGAATCGAGATTGTCATCTTAATGGCATTTTTAAAGGAAAATACAAAATTTTTGAAGAATAAAAATGCCATTTTTATGGCATTTTCAGATAAAGTTTTGGCAATTGTACGGCGAAACGGAAGAGGGAAGAGACAGGCACAACCACAGAATAGGAGGAAGGAGGAGGGAGAAGAATGAGCTACTTTACTCTGCCTACAGATCTGGATCGCATTTGATACTCACTCCCTCGATGGCTCGATGCTCGCCGATGTTCTTCGATGCTCGCCGATGCTCGTCGGTAGACGATGCTAGCCGCCGCCGCAACCGAAGAGCTTGTTGTTGCAGGTTTAATTTCCAATCAGAGAAGATGACCAGAGACGAAGACTCACCATCTTGTAACCTGAAATATGACTATATTGGAGAAGATAAGCTAGTGTGGGGAAAAGAATTTAAGATTTAGAAAAGAAAACCTAATCTGCTAAGGGAAGATTGCATTATGTGTGGAGAAGGGAAGAGAAGTTGAATCGATGGTGCGGGGAGACGGGAATAGTCTGGGCGAAGGAGAAGGATGCAGGTAGGAGGGTAAAGTTGAAATAGTAATCTTATTTCGGGAATAAGGGAGTGTTTGCGATTGCTTCAACTTTAAAAAAGTGATTTTGGGAAAAGTGATTAATAGTAAAAGTTGGTAGTGTTTGAGAAAAAAGTGATTCTGAAGAAGTAAAAGTTGGTAGTGTTTGGTAAAATAAGTATTTTTGTATAATAGAAAAAGTGAGAAGCAGTTTAAAGTACCCTTCTACCTGCTTCCAGCTTTTAAGTGATTAATTTAAGCATAAGCTATCATTTGAAAACACTCTTTTCAACTTTTTTAAGCCAAAAGCTGAAAAGCGTTTTTTTAATCAATCCCAAACACTCCTTAAATCTGATGTATTCCTATTTGGGAATATGAGCAATTATTTAGTCCCATTCAGGACAATAACCCAAATAACTAACACACTAATTACCTACTGATGGTCACTTTAATAAAATCTTAATCTGGCAAACGCGCGGGGGCAGCCCATAACCAAAAACATAACTTCCGTTCACGTCGCGGCGACCAGAAGCAAATTAAAAAAATAGGAGTTCCGTTGCCGGGAATCGAACCCGGGTCTCCTGGGTGAAAGCCAGATATCCTAACCGCTGGACGACAACGGAGATGTTGTTAACAGTTTGTGTAAAATGTTAATATTACGTATACTCTATCTTCGTTACAGACTTACAAGGTTTAACGTTATTACGTTACAATGCTTCGCAGTTTTTGTTTTCATGAAGCCATTGATTTCTCATTTCTCTATTCATGAGTACTAATAAAAAGAAGCTAAAACTTCAAGTAACCAGTTTGTTCATAACCATCCATATATCTCTTGTAATCTTGTCTTCTATATTCAAATAAGTATGACTTAAATAAAAATGGCCGGGTCTAAATTAATTGGATTTCTTGAAATCAAGAACACAAAGATGTGTAATTGTATGCATCGCCATGATAAATTGGCAATTCGACTTCACTAGCCAATATCACCACAATTAAGTGATTGTTCATTTCCATTTATTTCAATCACATGCCCGCAGTATCAAATACGTAGTACTCCGTATCAAAGAATACCAATTAGGATGTTTTTACTTGGACTGTAATCAGTTCTAGACCAGACCGGACTTAAACAGTCCAGTTCAGACCAGACCAGATTAGACTTGACTTCCGTAGTTATAAAATACATAGAAACCAGACGTTTATCAGACCATACCAGACCAATTCAGACCAGACCAGACTTAAATAGGCCAGACCAGACTAGAAAATTACGTTCCAAGTAAAAACATCCTCAGACTATGTTTGAAACTCCATGCCAAGAGTAAACAATAGGAGTACTGCGTATATAACATTTCATG